TACCACGGTCTTGTGTGCCGTAAATCCGAGGGAAAGATTGCAAGACATGAGGAGGTTAATAACATTATCAAGAGGAGCCTCACAACAGCTGGATGCCCAGCAGTAAGGGAGCCACCCCAACTATGCAGATCTGATGGCAGCAAAAGCGTCCAGATGGTATCACCCTTCAAGCCTCGACAGACGGCAAGCAGGTGGTGTGGGACTACACATGTGCATCTGCTTTGGCTGATACCTATCTCCAATACACCAGGGAGGAAGGAGGGGCAGCCGCCAGCTTCAGGGAGTCCCAAAAGTCTAGAAAATACGGAAAACTTGCCCATCATTATATGTTTGTTTCAATAGGCTCGGAAACCCTTGGCTCATGGGGAAAGAGTGCATCTAAGTTCCTTAAGGAGCTGGGCAAAAGACTCATCAGGGTAACTAGGGATCCCAAGGCAGCTAGTTTTCTGTTCCAGCAGCTCAGCACTGCTGTTCAGAGGGGTATATGCCTGCTGTATTTTGGGCACACACCCCAGCTCTCAGGAGCTGGATGAGCTTTTCGCCTATAATCAGTGACAAACACGTAACAATATATACCAGACATGTATCTCTCACACCTTATGTACTGTATATGCCATCTATATATATATATATATATATATATATATATATATATATATATATATATATATATATATATGATGCAATGTTGCAGACAAGATCTTTGGAGGTGAACTCTTCTCCAGGCTGAGGGACTGACCACCTCAAATACTCTTTCTCCATCGTTGATGGACTGGTAACATTATCTTCACTACCACACCTGTTACCTCTGTATTTGACTGACGAAGTCTACTGTGTAGGTGAAACGTTTCAACGATGAAGATACCCAACTGTTGCATATGTGAGGAATCATCACCTGGTGGGTATTTTAAGGCATTTATCAACATGTTCTTGTAATGAGTCGCTAAACCCTCATGCTGTGTCCTCATTATTATCCTCCCTTATTTTCCTTCCTCAACCACCTTTATTCTGAGAGGTTTTTGTCTTGGATTTTGAGTGTCCCGGAAAGAAGTCGCAGGAAAATAAGTCACAGTTTTGGCTAGGGAAAAGTCGCAGGAAAATAAGTTGCTTTTTTTTTTTACTTCTGTGACCTTTGTTACTTTTTTTCCTGTGACATGTTTACTTTTTTCCCTGTGACATGTTTACTTTTTTCCCTGTGACATGTTTCTACTTTTTTCCCTGTGACATGTTTACTTTTTTCCCTGTGACATGTTTACTTTTTTCCCTGTGACATGTTTACTTTTTTCCCTGTGACATGTTTACTTTTTTCCCTGTGACATTTTACTTTTTCCCTGTGACATGTTTACTTTTTTTCCCTGTGACATGTTTACTTTTTTCCCTGTGACATGTTTACTTTTTTCGCCTGTGCCCATTGTTACTTTTTTCCCTGTGACATGTTTACTTTTTTCCCTGTGACATGTTTACTTTTTTCCCTGTGACATGTTTCTACTTTTTCCCCTGTGACATGTTTCTACTTTTTTCCCTGTGACATCTTTCTACTTTTTTCCTGGATCCGGATTTTGGACGAAGATAAAAGTTCTGGCGGATTACTTTCAGTTTTTCTTTCACTTTTTACTCTAATTCTCTTCTGGACTTTTTGTCTTCTCTTCAAATTTGGCTTCAATTCTTCTTACATCCATGAAAAATGTCTGGGTCTTTTAAAAGGTCTGAACCATTTTCTGACATTATTTTTAGTTAAAAATCGTGAATTATAGGTCTTTTAATCGTAAACTCCTGCAATAATTGTATTTTATGAGCTAAATCATATTATTTTTGTGTTATTCTCAGCTCGAGCGCTAGAGCACTCACCTCACACACTGAGGTCCGGGGATCGATCCCCGGTATGGTTAACAAGATTATGACGTGTTTCCATAAGACACCTGCTGTCCATGTTCACCTAGCAGTAAAATAGGTACCTGGGTGTTAGTGGACTGGTGTGGGTCGCATCCTGGGACAAAACTGACCTAATTTGCGGGTAATGCTCAGCATAACAAGCGGCTTTCTAAATGTCATTAATATCAGCAATGGTCTGTATAAGTTGTACATGTGGAAATAAAGATTATTAATATCAAGGATTTTTCCAGTCTTGTTGATATCTTTATTTGTTACCTTAAGGGTCACCTGTCAGTGTTGATAGATTGTTTGCGACTGTTGTTTTATCTATCAGCAAGTTGACAGCTGAAAGGCCACAAGTCTAAGTAATGCCACAATAAAATGTGTCGGTACTTCTACCAACATTATTACCAACAAGATGATTAAGATTCACGTGCAGCAGTTGGGTATCTTTATCATTGAAACGTTTCGCCTACACAGTAGACTTCTTTAGTCAAATATAGAGGCAACAGGTGTAGTAAAATAAATTACGTCATCTTCATATCACTACTACACCTGTTGCCTCTGTATCTGTCTTAATCATCAACCACCAGAGACTGTCTTAGCTATATCAGTGGTTGTTCCTTTGCACAAAGGAACAATACCGTGACTGGAACAACACACACATAACCCGCACGTAAGTGAGAGGAACTTTTGGCGACGTTCCGGTCCCACTCGCACTACTTACAAGTCACAAGTCACAGTGACTTGAAGAATTAGACACGTGTGCAGCATCTGGGTGTCTTTACTGTAGACGTTTCGCTAGACAAATTCAAGGACATAATTGAGAGCAGAAGAATTATGTACAAAAAAAATGAAATAATCCGTCCTTAGTATGATGGACTGACTGATTATTCATGTTTTGTATATGTAATCTGTCCCCCTGTTTACTGTCATATATATATAAATATATATATATAATATATATTATATATATTATTTTAATATATATATATATAATATATATATATATATATATGTCGTGCCGAATATGTAAAACTGGTCAATTAGAAAAAACTCATTTAAAATTAAGTCCTTTCTAAATTTTCTCTTAACGTTTAAAGATATTTTTTTTCATTAATGTTAATGTAAAAATTTTTATTTTGCACCAAAAAAAACTTAAAAACTTACCTAACCTTTTTATAACAAGAACAATTTATTTTAGCCTAACCAACAAAATATATTTTAGATTTTTTTTACAATAATTTAATACTAAACAAACACAGTAAAATTTATATTTTTTTTTCGTTATGTTCAGAATGATTTGGCGAAATATTGCATACACACACACACACACACACACACAACACCACAATATATATATATATATATATATATATATATATATATATAAAAATATATATATATATATATATATAAATATAATATATATATATATATATATATCACTTTCAGGCTATGGGAGACTATAATATTCACCTGTTGCGTGTGGGTGACTAGAACATCCACCTGTGGGGGGTGTGGGTGACTAGAACATCCACCTGTGAAGGTGTGGGTGACTAGAACATCCACCTGTGGGGGTGTGGGTGACTAGAACATCCACCTGTGGGGGTGTGGGTGACTAGAACATCTACCTGTGAGGGTGTGGGTGACTGGAACATCCACCTGTGGGGGTGTGGGTGACTAGAACATCCACCTGTGAGGGTGTGGGTGACTAGAACATCCACTTGTGAAGGTGTGAGTGACTGGAACATCCACCTATGAGGGTGTGGGTGTCTACAAGTGCCAGTTGTGTGGGTGACTACAAGAGCCAGTTGTGTGGGTGTCCACAAGTGCCAGTTGTGTGGGTGTCTACAAGTGCCAGTTGTGTGGGTGACTACAAGAGCCAGTTGTGTGGGTGTCCACAAGTGCCAGTTGTGTGGGTGTCCACAAGTGCCAGTTGTGTGGGTGTCCACAAGTGCCAGTTGTGTGGGTGTCCACAAGTGCCAGTTGTGTGGGTGTCCACAAGTCCCCATTTTGTGTGGGTGTCCACAAGTGCCAGTTGTGTGGGTGACTACAAGAGCCAGTTGTGTGGGTGTCTACAAGTGCCAGTTGTGTGGGTGTCTACAAGTGCCAGTTGTGTGGGTGACACAAAGCCAGTTGTGTGGGCGTCCACAAGCCATTGGGTGGGTGTCTACAAGTGCCAGTTGTGTGGGTGACTACAAGAGCCAGTTGTGTGGGTGACTACAAAAGCCAGTTGTGTGAGTGACTACAAGAGCCAGTTGTGTGGGTGACTACAAGTGCCAGTTGTGTGGGTGACTACCAGTGCCAGTTGTGTGGGTGACTACAAGTGCCAGTTGTGTGGGTGACTACAAGTGCCAGTTGTGTGGGTGTCTACAAGTGCCAGTTGTGTGGGTGTCTACAAGTGCCAGTTGTGTGGGTGTCCACAAGTGTCAGTTGTGTGGGTGGCTACAAGAGCCAGTTGTGTGGGTGACTACAAGTGCCAGTTGTGTGGGTGTCTACAAGTGCCAGTTGTGTGGGTGTCCACAAGTGCCAGTTGTGTGGGTGACTACAAGAGCCAGTTGTGTGGTTGCCCACAAGTGCCAGTTGTGTGGGTGTCTACAAGTGCCAGTTGTGTGGGTGACTACAAGAGCCAGTTGTGTGGGCGTCCACAAGTGCCAGTTGGGTGGGTGTTTACAAGTGCCAGTTGTGTGGGTGACTACAAGAGCCAGTTGTGTGGGTGTCCACAAGTGCCAGTTGTGTGGGTGTCTACAAGTGCCAGTTGTGTGGGTGACTACAAGAGCCAGTTGTGTGGGTGTCCACAAGTGCCAGTTGTGTGGGTGTCTACAAGTCCCAGTTTTTTGTGGGTGACTACAAAGCCAGTTGTGGGGGGTGACTACAAGGTCAGTTGTGTGGTGTCCACAAGTGCCAGTTGTGTGGGTGTCTACAAGTGCCAGTTGTGTGGGTGACTACAAGAGCCAGTTGTGTGGGTGTCCACAAGTGCCAGTAGTGTGGGTGTCTACAAGTGCCAGTTGTGTGGGTGACTACGAGAGCCAGTTGTGTGGGTGACTAGAACACCCAGTTGTGTGGGTGGCTTCTGGAGTCAGTTGTGTGGGTGACTAGAACACCCAAGTGTGTGGGTGACTTACCTGTGTGAGAGGTGTAGTGATGGGTGAGTGTAGTGCTGCAGGAGGCGTCACGTCAGCTAAAGTGAGGCTGAGATCTCTCCTCTCCCATCTTATATACTTCCTTACCCGCCCACACCCTGCCTTCCCGCCCGATCACCCGCACGCCCGCCCGCCCGTCCACCTGCTCTCCCCCCCTTTGCCCACACCCGATTCCCCCGCCCACCCACCCACACCCTCACCCATCACATTAACGTAGTATAGGTTACGCAAATCAGACACTACTCCTGTCGTCTGATCTGCGTAACCTTTCACCGTAACTGGTCTGCGTTTTTGGTCTAACCGGTCTCGTCACAGTATACGCACCCGCGATTTCGCTAACTTTGAGTCGTATTATAGTCCAATTCCATCGTGTCAGTGATAATAATAATAATAATAATAATAATAATAATAATAATAATAATAATAATATTTATTTTTACAAGTACGTTATACAACTTAACATAAAAATTTAGGCACACTGCAGCAGGCCTATGCCATCCAGGTAGCCCATACTAGGCACGTTCTTCTCAAACCCAAACCCACTTTAAGAAAAATGTTTGCGCAACCCTTTATCAATGTTACCCAGACAATTAGCTTTAATAACCCTATTAACTCAATTGCAAATCTCACAAGATATTGACTCAAGGCTGAGGGACTGATTACCTCAAACGCCTCCTCTTAGTCCACCTTTTTCTGCACTGGACTGAAGAAGCCACTGTGTGGCGAAACGTTTCCAGAATAGAGATACCAAAATGCTGCACAAGTGTCTCACTTATCCATTTAACCCTCCTTCCCCGTCTCAGTTATGTATTTATCTAATCTGGTATAAATTTTGGCAATAGATACCGACAAGTTAGTTTTTAGGACATATTAGAAAGCGTTTCGGTCCCAGGGCCGAAACGTTTTCTAATATGCCCTAGTGATTACTTACGTTTCTGTCTAAGCCCTTTATCTAACCTAAATTTGAAGCTACCCAAGGTTTTAGCTTCAATTACCCTACTAGGTTGACGGTTCCACACATCAACTAACCTATTTCCAAACCAATACTTTCCCATATCCTTTCTAAATCTAAATTTATCCAATTTGAATCCATTATTTCGAGTTCTTGGAGGAATATCCTCAGTATCGTATTTATATATCCCTTGTTTATCCCTGTCTTCCACTTACTTCATTCACGTCTTTCCCTCATTCTGCGTCTTATAAGATGATGTAACTTAAGATATTTTAATCTTTCTTGGTAAGGAAGATTTCTTACTTAGTGGAGTAACTTTATGATTCTTTGATTTTGTCTAACGAATTAATATCCATTTTGTAATGCGGATATATATTTGTTTGAATTAATATCCATTTTGTAATACGGATATAAATTCGTTAGAATTAATATCCATTTTGTAATACGGAATAAATTCGTTAGAATTAAAAATCCATTTTGTAATACGGATATAAATTCGTTAGAATTAATATCCATTTTGTAATACGGATATAAATTCGTTAGAATTAATATCCATTTTGTAATACGGATATAAATTCGTTAGAATTAATATCCATTTTGTAATACGGATATAAATTCGTTAGAATTAATATCCATTTTGTAATACGGATATAAATTCGTTAGAATTAATATCCATTTTGTAATACGGATATAAATTCGTTAAATTAATACCATTTTGTAATACGGATATAAATTTCGTTTGAATTAATATCCATTTTGTAATACGGAATAAATTTGTTAGAATTAATATCCATTTTGTAATACGGATATAAATTCGTTAGAATTAATATCCGTTTTTGTAATACGGATAAAATTCGTTAGAATTAATGTCCATTTGTAATAAAGGATAAAAATTCGTTAGAATTAATATCCATTTTGTAATACGGATATAAATTCGTTAGAATTAATATTTCCCTTTTGTAATACGGATATAAATTCGTTAGAAATTAAAATCCATTTGTAATACGGATATAAATTCGGTAGAAATTTAAATCCAATTTGTAATACGGATATAAATTCGTTAGAAAATTTAAAATCCATTTTGTAATACGGATGTAAAATCGGTAGAATTAATATCCATTTTGTAATACGGATATAAATTCGTTAGAATTAAAAATCCATTTTGTAATACGGGTATAAATTCGTTAGAATTAATATCCATTTTGTAATACGGAATAAATTCGTTAGAATTAATATCAATTTGTAATACGGATATAAATTCGTTAGAATTAATATCCATTTTGTAAACGGATATAAATTCGTTAGAATAATATCCATTTTGTAATACGGATATAAATTCGTTAGAATTAATATCCATTTTGTAATACGGATATAAATTTGTTAGAATTAATATCCATTTTTGTAATACGGATATAAATTTGTTAGAATTAATATCCATTTTGTAATACGGATATAAATTTGTTAGAATTAATATCCATTTGTAAAAACGGATATAAATTCGTTAGAATTAATATCCATTTTGTAATACGGATATAAATTCGGTAGAATTAATAAACCATTTTGTAACGGATATAAATTCGTTAGAATTATATCCATTTTGTAATACGGTGTAAATTCGGTAGAATTAATATCCATTTTGTAATACGGATATAAATTCGTTAGAATTAATATCCATTTTGTAATACGGATATAAATTCGTTAGAATTAATATCCATTTTGTAATACGGAATAATAATTCGTTAGAATTAATATCCATTTTTTAATACGGATAAAATTCGTTTAGAATTTAAAACCTTTTTTAATACGGGTATAAATTTGTTTGAATTAATATCCATTTTGTAATACGGATATAAATTCGTTTGAATTAATATCCATTTTGTAATACGGATATAAATTCGTTAGAATTAATATCCATTTTGTAATACGGATATAAATTTGTTAGAATTAATATCCATTTTGTAATACGGATATAAATTCGTTAGAATTTATATCCATTTTGTAATACGGATATAAATTCGTTAGAATTAATATCCATTTTGTAATACGGATATAAATTCGTTAGAATTAATATCCATTTTGTAATACGGATATAAATTCGTTAGAATTAATATTCATTATATTCCTTACGTAGAAATATTGAAATCTCTTAAATTACATTGTCGTCATATCTCTACTGGTAACTTTTCTGTACCAGACTGAAGAAGACTGCTGTGTAGGCGGAACGTTTGGGAATAAAGATACCTGACTTTTGCACATGTGTCTTACCAACCTGTAGGTGTTGTGTACCATTTTAATATTGCTGCTAGGTGAGCAAGGACAGGTGTAAGGTGACTAACATCGAGGTACCTACTTGCTGCTAGGTGAGCAGGGACAGGTGTAAGGTGACTACATCGAGGTACCACTTGCTGCTAGGTGAGAAGGGACAGGTGTAAGGGGACAACACGAGGTAACTACTTGCTGCTAGGTGAGCATGGACAGGTGTAAGGTGACTAACATCGAGGTACCTACTTGCTGCTAGGTGAGAAGGGACAGGCGTAAGGTGACTAACATCGAGGTACCTACTTGCTGCTAGGTGAGAAGGGACAGGTGTAAGGTGACTAACATCGAGGTAACTACTTGCTGCTAGGTGAGCAGGGACAGGTGTAAGGTGACTAACACCGAGGTGACTACTTGCTGCTAGGTGAGCAGGGACAGAAGGTGTAAGGTGACTAACACCGAGGTACCTATTTGCTGATAAGTGAACAGGGACAACAGATGTCTTAAGGAAACACACCCAAATGTTTCCACCCGTACAGGGGATCGAACCACGTACCTCAATGTGTGAACATAGTGCGCTACCAACCGAGCTACGGGGCACCCAGCTAGTACGCCTACCCTATTTGGGTACTAAGGTGTACTAGTAGTGACCAGGTGACATATAGCTTTAATGACCCTCGGGTAATAGGCTCCATATTAGACTAAGTTTAGATTTAGAATGTATATAAGGACTTAAGAATGGAAGAACACTGCAGATGACCTACTGGCCCATACAAGGCAGGAAAGTACTGTTAGGTAAATGGACACAAGTGCAAGTAATGTGTCCTTTTATTGTGGCAACGTTTCGCCCTTCAAGAGCTTTGTCAAGCCGGCATGGTAACGGCCTGACAAAGCCGTTAACGTGACGGCTTTGTCGGGCCGTTAGGTTAGGTAAGGAGAGGTTGGGTTAGGTTCAGTTAGGTTATGTAAGGTTGAGATAAGTAAGGTTTGGTTAAGTTAGGTTAGGTAAGGTTAGACTAGGTTAGGTTAGGCTAGGTTAAGTTAGGTTAGGTTAGGCTAGGCTAGGTTAGCCTAGGTTAGGTTAGGCTAGGTTATGTAAGGTTGGGATAGGTAATGTTTGGTTAAGTTAGGTTAGGTTAGGTTAGATGGTTCGGGTTAGGTAAGACTGGTCAGGAAACAGGACAAGTATTTCCTGACGCGGGTTTTAGTCATATGATAACCCGCAACTGGAGCTTTTAGTCATCTGACCGAGGCCTTCTACTGGCTTACCCCTCCACCCCTTTGAAAAAATATGGTTATGATTATAACCATTGCATTACGGCGATGTGGAGACACCAAAACAACGTGAAAATTAGACATGACTCAAGAAATCGTAATGACACGATTGCAAATAAACCATACCCCGGCCGGGATTGAACCCGCGGTCATAGTCTCAAAACTCCAGCCCGTCGCGTTAGCCACTAGACCAGCTAGCCCCAATAAGATTCATCCAACTAGGTATATTTCTACACCATAGGAAAGTAGCACAGGCACCTCTGTGACCACAAATGCAAGTTTTTACAGACGAATCTCCATTACGATTTCTTGAGTCATGTTGACGGCAGTGAAGGGACTTGAGCTAGAGTTCGTCACGGCCACGCTAGCTGGAGACTCGTCTGTAAAAACTTGCATTTGTGGTCACAGTGGTGCCTGTGCTAACCTTCCTATGGTGTAGAAATATACCTAGTTGGATGAATCTTATTGTGGCTAGCTGGTCTAGTGGCTAACGCGACGGGCTGGAGTTTTGAGACTCTATGACCGCGGGTTCAATCCCGGCCGGGGGTATGGTTTAAAATTAGAC